TACAATACTGCTTGACATGATTGAACTATGGAATGATATGATATCTGTATTAACTGCCAATAAATAATAATACATTTAAAAAATAATAAAAATTTAAAACTTGGCAGTTCAAACCCAGCCAGCAGTGCCATTACATAAATTTCTGGAGATCAGCTTCTGTCAACATTATAGCCCAGAAAACCTTATGGAGGAGTTCGCCTCTGTCACATATGACGTCACCAAGAGTCAGAATCGAGGTGGGTTTGGAGGTGAGATGATTGAACTCAATTTGAAGAGAAAGTTGTGAGTTCATTTTTTCTTAAGGTGTGTTTCAGGCAACTTGGACATTTTTGAGTGAAAATCTCAGATAGGTGGAAATCTATGTGGACCTGGATACGAGAGGGGAGGAGGGTTGGACTGGAGATGCACCTGTGAGAGGCATAAGCAGGTATTTGGGGATGGAAGCAGCAGGTCTCAGTGAGGTTGCCCAAGAAGAGAGCACTGCATGAGATCCCAATGTAAAAGCAAGCCAACCTTTAAAAACTGGGGAAGACGCAAACTCATGGTAGAACACTTCAAACAGAGAAAACGATTTCATCTATCATTTTACTGCACATACGTACAAGTTATTACCATTTTGGTGCCTGAGCTAGTCTCACTGCCATCAAGTCAATTCTGACTCCTGGAGACCCTGATAGGGCGGAGTAGAACTGCCCCCTGTGGGTTTCTGAGACTGTAACCCTTTAAGGGAGTAGAAAGCCCCATCTTTCTCCCACAGAACCTCTGCTGGTTTCCAACCTCGGACGTTAGGGATCACAATTCAGTGTGTACCCACCATGCCACCAGGGCGCCTTTCGCCTGAGCTTATGGTCTATGTGAATATCCAGTACACATTTTTTATTTTTAATTGTCAGAAAGAGTTAGTGCTCCGTCAAAGGTCAGGAGTGAATTAATCTGCTTAGAATATCTTTAAATTACATGCAAAATAAGACAAGGAATAAAGAGAGGTCCATTCCATGAGAAGTTAAACTTATGCAATCAGTATTTCTGGTTATAGCACCTAGAGAACTGGGCTAAATATAACTAAGCCTGTGGCATTCTGTACTGTATTTGCTTGAGTAAAAAAATCCATGATCACTATTTGAAAATCAGTCAAAGTATACGTTCTCTTGCTGGTGGCATCTTGTCACTATGTGAAGGACAGCACATTAAATGCCCAGTATGATGGCAAAGTAGAATAACTCATTACCAGTTATTCCTGGGCTTAGTCATTTGTGTTCCTACTAAAACGAATAGTAACTGGCTTATTCTGATTTGATGTTAACTGAAACAGCTTTTGGAAATGCCATTTCCTATAAGCATACGGTGTTCTATTTCAATGCACCCAAGATCATTTGAAAGAAAGAAGACGGTGTGTGCACTATGCATATATGTAAGTGGGAAATTGATAGAAAAGTGCTTTATGATGAAAGAATATTATTCGGCATTTACATCAGAGTGAGCTTTTCCTGCTTTCGTTGGGACATGGTGCATGAGGCCGGTGTAGTCATATTATGCATCATGTAAGACACCAGCTGAGCTTTAGTGTCTCACATGGTACCGAATACAATTGAAACAGCCCCCCTATTATGATATTAAAACTTCAGTTTCTCAGAGTGAATCAACAAGCTTAGAAGTAATTACCAAATAGGCTCGAGTATAATCCGACCCGAATAACAGCTGAGGCACCTAATTTTACCCACAAAACTGCATTAAAAATGCGGTGGAGCTGGTCCCAGCACCAAATACTAAGTGGATGCCTGCCCCTCCCCCGAGAAGAATTCATTTCAAAGGATGGCACTGAATCTGCAGCTTCGGGAGAAGGATATATCTGAGCAGAGCACACAGGAGCAGGTGACGGGGGAGGAGAAGAGACTGGAGCACATCCTGGCCCACCAAGCCTTGAGGACTATGACCCCAATTAGAGCAGCCAGTCCACAGAGA